TGTTGTAACTACTAAATTATTATTTTTAATTTAGTAAGAGTAAAATAGAGTACTAATTATGACAATTTTGATTGGGATGAGGTTCGAACTTAAAACCTTTCTTATTGAAATTAATGAGTAAGTTAACGGTGAACTAACAGAAGTTAATGGAGAAGATAATATTTAACGGAAAAATTAACGGATAATCGTATAATTAAGGATAAATTAGTAAATCTCAAGAAAAAATTAAAATCTGAACAAATCTGAGCCATTCATTTGATTAAAAAATTTGACGGCCATTTTTTCTACCCATTATAGGCCTAACTCTCTTGGGCTCTTATTACTATAGTAGATATATAGTTCTAGAACAGGCCCAACCTGCAGCCCAATTTTATAAATGGGTTTATTTCACACGGATGCACAGCATAACGACTCCATCAAGATTGTCCCTAAACCTAAAATCCTTCGTTGGTCTTGCTAATTTGAATCCATAATACTTGTAATTTGTCCGTTCTTTACTTCCATAGCGCCTCATCATCATGTCTCCTAGTATAGAGCCCTTCAATTACATGTGATGTATTCTAGATGGCTTTGAAACTCCTCCAATTAAACTCAAAACTCCACAGTTTTTACAATTAACATCTCCTCACAACCTAGACAACATGATGATTAATAACTGAATTAGTAACAAAATTATATTGGCCAAACTATATACGAGCAACAAGCAATTTAACACAAAATTATGTATGTATGGAAAAATGAAAGAAAATATGGCATTTATCAATACCATTAAAAAGTTTAATTGAGATTTTATTTATCAATATCATTATTAAAAAGTTCAATTTGGGATTTTTATTTTTGATTTTTTTTTTAAATAACACCCATATCCATCAACTCACAACTACATGTCAATCAAAACGTTGACAAATTATATCACGGATCAAACAATAAATGTCTAGTTGGATTGTTTTTTTTGACCTTATAAAAGTCAAATAAAATCATTAATAGACCCTCTTAAAAGCATGCCCCAAACACAACCACTTATAAATCAATTATATTTTTCTAACAATTCTCAAATATTAATATTTTTCACAACTATACATTTTCTCTAAACAAATACAGAGTTATAATTAAAAATTCGATGGAAGGAATAATTGACTGGTGACATTAATGGAAGCAGTTTATTTTGAAAATGATTTGACTTTAATTATGGTTATTAGTTGTAATTTTGCACGTAAGTCGACAAGCAATAATAATTGCCCAAACTTAAATTACTTTGAATTGATCCAAATAATAATAATAATAATAATAATAATAATAATAATAATAATAATAATAATAATAATAATAATAATAATAATAATAATAATAATAATAATAATAATAATAATTCTTTGTACATTTTAATGAGTTGGTTGGAAAGTAGTGGTTTGGTTGCAGTCAACTTTTCTTTTGTTTCTTTGTTCTAGGATGAGTTAATTCCAGCAATTGTCCTTCGACTATACTGATTTTTCAAAATTAGTCATCGACTTTTAATTTGGACACTTTAGGTCCCTTGACTTTCAATTTCTTTCCAATTGAGATCCTTTCGTCAGAATACTATTAATTAGACTTTAAATGAAGGGGTAAACTCGTCCTTTCACCTGTCTATGTATTATTCTTCGTATTTCGCTGTTATACCTTGTAAACATCTTAATAATGGAGAAACGCACACATGAGCAATTAATACATGGGGGACGGCGAGGAACATTTTAGGACTTCGACTGAGATTATCTTCATATATATCGCTTATACAAGGGAGAAATATGAAGAATAATACATAGGCAGGTGAAAGGACAAGCTTACCCCTTCATTTACAGTTCAATTAATTGTATTATAACAAAAGGACCTGAATTCAAAAGAAATTGAAAGTCAAGGGACCAAAAGTGTCCAAATTAAAAGTCAGGGTCTAATTTTAGAAAATCAATATAGTCGGAGGACCATTGCTGGAATTAACTCTTCTAGGATTAAGTCATATAAAATGAGACAGAGGATGTAAAGTAAAAAAATAAATACTACGTAAAAGAATAATTACACATAATATTTTCTTGCACGACCCTGGCTTCACCTCCATTATTTTACTATTAGTCATTTTATAGGCGATGCATCAAAATAAATATTAACTATTAGTACTTAGTGCTAAAAACTTACAACTATAGTTATATTAAAATAAATTTTATAAAAATATAGTATATAAATTTTAAAAAGGTCGTAAAACGCATATTATTTTAAAAAATATAATTGATAATTTGGGTAATAGTCATGTTATGATTAATAATTGTTGTAGTTTAATTTTTTTTTCTTTTTTTTTTTTTTAGAATATTATGTCCTATACTAGAAAAAGCCAATTCAAGGAGTAGCATTTAATAAAATGATAAATGAATAAATATAATTATGGAAGTAGTTAATATATAAAAACGGAAGTTTAACAATATAAAGACAATTTTGTTCGATAAAAAGTAGCAATACAATATTTATAACACAATATATAACTCAACAAGTATAGGGATATGGACATCAATCAATGGTACTATAACGATTTTTCTCAATTTCGTCCTAAACGACTTCGGTGACCTAATATAGTTCCAGACTTTTGTGTTTTTGTTCAATTTAATCCTTTATTTGTTATTTCGTAAAATTAGTGTTAAATAAAGAGACAATTCAGTAATTATCAATATTGACCTTTTTTTACTCACAGCCCTGCCAAGTGTGAAACCTCTCTTTTTCTTTTACGAATTACTCTCAGACCTGTTAATCAAATTTTATATTCACAGGTTTGGGAGTAATTCGTACAAAAAAAAAAAAAGATTTCGCATTTCGCAGGTCTAGGAGTAATGAGATGTCAATATTGAAATTACTGAATTGTTTCTCTGTTTAATACTAAATGGACGAAATAACAATCGGATGACTAAATTGAGCAAAGACACAAAAATTTGAGACCACATTAGGTCACCAATGTCATTTAGAACGAAATTGAGAAAAATCATTATAGTCAAGTACCATTTTAAGTATGAACTCTTTTATTATTATTATTATTATTATTATAAGTTTGTACCTCAAACTTTAGAGCCCTACACCATTCATGTCCTAGAGATTGGTAGATGAAATAATTAAATTATGGAATGTGTCTCAACTAACTTACAAATTACATGCTCCAAGTCCAAATTGCGGGATATTTAAATGTTTATAGAGTATAGATTATGAATATAGAGATGGATTATATTATTGTTGCTCTCCTTTTGCAGTTTGCTCTATTGATCTCTTCCTCTTTTCCATTTTCTAATTTGGTGCAGACTTGGCCTTCCTTGTTTAACTAATGAAATTAATTAATGTAATTTGAATTGAGAAAAGTTGAGGTTAAAGTCTACGACAATCTTAAAACGCTGCCCAATGAAAAGAGTGCATGGATCGGAGAACGTAGAAAATTTTTCTTTAAATTTGGTGGGGACACGAGCCTACAATCATGACCCTTTGACCCAACCGGCGGCATATATATGCTTTCACTTTCATTTACATTAAAACTAGACTATAATTCGTGTTTTATTATTATTATTATTATTATTATTATTATTATTATTATTATTATTATTATTATTTATTCTTTTTGTCTTGTGGTAACGTACAAATTTCGCAGTAATTATTTAGTACAAAAATTATGCTTTACCTATTCAATCATCTCTTTTGAGTCAACCAGGACTATGTGGTCTAATGGTACCCAAGTTGGACTTCCATTTGAAAGGTTGTGAGTTCGAGCATCAGTGGAGGCGTTATTGGTTCTTTGTGTTTCAGTAGGTTGAGAAAGTATATGAACAAATACTACAATGTAATAGAACCAGTAGCATTCAAAAAAAAAATCTCTTTATTTGCTCAATCTCATGACTTCTCACATGAGAGAGGTTACTACATGTCATCTAAGGATAATGTGCTTGGCTATGTTTTTATAAAGTGAATTCATTCATCCCTTAATTGTCTGCAAAGTGAGTTAACCTAACTCGAACAGAACTCGTGGACAAAAAAGAGTCATTTTACATATATATAATTAAGAGTAAATTACACTTTTGGTCCTGTGACTATAGAGGGTGTGTTAATTTGGGTACGTGACTTTTAAAATTAATAATTTAGTCCTTTAACTATCATTTTTTTAGCAGATTTGGTCCTCCCGGTCAAATTGCCAGTGGAATTTGGCCGGAAAGACATTCGACTTTTTAAATCAAATATTGGTCGGGGTAATTCGGTCTTTTTAATTATTGAACCGAATTACCCCCACCAATATTTGATTTAAAAAGTCGAACGTCTTTCAGGCCAAATTCCACCGGCAATTTGGCCGGGAGGACCAAATCTGCTAAAAAAATGATAGTTAAAGGACTAAATTGTTAGTTTTAAAAGTCACGTACCCAAATTAACACACCCCCTATAGTCACATGACCAAAAGTGTAATTTGCTCTATAATTAATGGACAAAAAGTGGTAACTTATAAGAAAAGGGAAGATGTAAAATGATAAATATTTTTGTGCTGTGTGTTTATTAAGTGTTGATTATTTGTTAACTTGTAAGAAAAGATGATTTAAAGCAATAATTACTGAATTACATGCATAAAATATTTCTAAAACATAAAAGTTAGTTTTCAACAGTAAATTTGCTTTAATTTATTATCCCACAGAGATAGTACAAGTATTTTGAACATTGAAAAGTAAAAGCCAATTGTTTTTCATATTAAATTCAAAACATTCTATTCATCATTTAGGAATTGATGAGAATTACCCGCACAGATTTAGTTTATTAATTCAGTTTCGAACCTCAACAGTAACAGTGTAGAGATTATATTCGAAGTGAATGATTTACATTCTCAGAAATGCTCGCTGGTCCATAAAATATGTGGTTAGATAAATAATAATGAAAGTGCACGCCACTTGCCCAAAACTCATTGTTAAATACCTGTTCTCTTCTGTGTATAAATATATAAAACGACACATATATGTTTGATAATTCAATGTTAGAAAAACACTGCAGAAGATCTTCCCCAGAGTGCAACTATGCCATCCTCCATGTTCATAATCCTCATACCAATTATACTCTTCTTCTTTTTCTTTAATCCATTATTTGTTGAAGCACAAAGTGGGCATCTTCCCCCAGATGAATGTGAGCCCCTCAACTCTGCATGTGTTGTTTTCTTAATTGCTTGGTGATTATGAATTACATATGTATTAACAGCTAGATTTTGTTGAATTAATGTATATGGAATGAAGTAAATGCATTGAAGGAAATAGGTGATCAACTGGGGAAGAAGGACTGGGATTTTAGACTAAATCCTTGTGACAAAAACAACTCTAACTGGATGACACCAGATAGGGAGGATATGCCTCTATACACTAATACTCTCACTTGCAATTGTAGTTTCCCGGGTGGTATTTGCCATGTCCAAAGCATGTAAGCTACTTTTCCTTCTACCCAATACTCTCATTATATTACTCCTTTCTTCAATTTCTCATTTAATTTCTTCTTTCTCGGATCCCATTTTTGTTGCAATGATTTTGATCCTGTTGTTGGAACGCTTTGCCCCTGGTCAGGTTAAGAAGCTTAGGTTCTGTTTGGTAAAATAGTTAGCTATCAGTCAATTTTAGCTTGTTTGACCACTATTAGCTGTTTGACTTGGTTAAACAACCAATATGAGTGTTCGATTAATTAGCTTTTTGTAACAGCTTATTGCTCCAAAACACTAAAATTCAAAAAGATGCTCAAAACAGCTTTTTTCTATCAACTTTTTTAGAAAGTCATTTTGTATGAAATTCGCTATCAACTAATAGCTAATTTACTAAACATCATTCTACAATCAGCTAATGTTATCAAGTAGCCAAACCCACAGCTAACAAGATATTTATCAAACACACCCTTAGTCAAACTAAACTAAAGTTGTATTATGTTAGTGTATATATTATACATCATAGTAAGTCTGATGTTTAGTTTAGTTTTGGTTGGCTGGGATGGGGGAGGGGGGAAGTGTAGGATGAGGGTCAAATTATTTATTTATTTTGATAACGGGTGTTTCGGCTTTGCCAGACTATATCTATCCTTGACCCCATAAACCAACTCCAGGCTCATGAGGGGGTAATTCGAGCCAAATAAGGATCAAAACCCCTATCTATTGTTAAAAGCAAGTCTTAAGTAAGGCTTTGAGCCAATTCGGGATGGAACCCCATCTACGGTTGGAAGCAAGACATAAAATTTCTCACCTACTAGGCCAATGCCCAATGGCTTTTTTTCGTATCGGGGAAAAGGCAAACAAAGTTACATATATATTTCAATAGTACAATTCTTTTGGTATTAAACTGATTCTACTAGAAATGGTTGACTTCAATATGGTAATAGTAAAGTCTTAGATTAATAGCATATTAACAAAGTATAAAGGTTACTAGGACACATCATCCTAATAGTCTATACTGTTTTTGTAAACAGAGTTTTGAGAGCACAGGATCTGCAAGGTGTTCTTCCTCTTGCCTTGGTGAAGTTACCCTTTCTCAAGATAATGTACCAACCTACACTTTCTACATTTATGCTTTATTATCTGTTCTGCTTATTCATATTCTTGGCTTGATTAATATTATTATTATTTTTGCAGCGATTTCACCCGCAACTACTTGAGTGGTACAATTCCCCCTGAATGGGCTTCTGCCAAATTTGAAAATCTGTAAGTTATGCTGTGTATTATAACCTAAGCTATATATACAAGTGTAAGCCATCTGCTTGTCCATTGTAAAGAAGTGAAAATTTGCAGAACTCTTACTGTGAATCGATTGTCTGGGCCAATTCCAACATACTTGGGAAATATAACGTCTCTTGTATATTTGTATGTTCCCTTGCTCCTCTTGCTCTAGCTACTTAGATGTGTTTAACATTTTTTGAGGAATTAAGTGTTTGGTTTTTGTTGTAACAACAAATGAATTTTCAGAAGCTTGGAGAACAATATGTTCAATGGAACCGTTCCACCCGAGCTTGGGAAACTTTCAAACTTACAGAATCTGTAAGAATCCTTCACTAGCTAAATACGAAATTTTCGTTATCACTTGTTTGACGTTTCTCTATTTTTGCTCTCTGTAGCATTCTGAGTGCTAATAATCTCACAGGTGAATTGCCAAAAGAACTTTATGCTCTCACAAATTTGACAGAACTGTAAGTGCATCATTCATATTCTTAATTTATTTGTTTTCTCGATCTTCTATACTTTATTTTCACTTGTGATGTGTCCCGGGAAAATCAATGCAGTAGACTCAGTAGTAATAACTTCACCGGGACACTGCCTAGCTTTCAGAGTTGGAAAAACCTTCAAAAATTGTAAGCATCTAAATGTAACACTTCAAAATTGGAATCTTTAGATGCAACCATTTTTTTTGTTATTGACAAACACGATTTGCAGAGAGCTTCAAGCGAGTGGTTTTGAGGGGCCCATACCCGAAAGTATTTCTGTACTTAAAAGTTTGATAGAACTGTGAGTTAAGATTTCCTTTGACGATTTCGATGATAGCATAATTTTCTGTGGTCAAGGTCACCAAATGAAGTTTAATTGTGAACAACATGAATCTGCAGTAGAATCAGTGACCTAAATGGAGGTGGAGGCTCCCGATTTCCTACATTAATAAACATGCCAGGCATGATAAAGTTGTGAGTAACACATTTTCGTTCCAAAAATATAAACTTAAGTTTCATATTTCATTATTTCCACTATGAGTCGAAGTTATTTATGCAATGATAATTTTTGGGTGCAGGATGTTGAGGAGTTGTAATATTTCTGGGACGATACCTAACATAGCTTATATGAGAGGCTTGCAATATCTGTAATTTCTGAAACTTGATTTTTCGTTTGATACTTCTCTGTGTGGAAATTTCGTATCGCCTAAGAGAAAGCTGAAGTATAAGCTGAAAATATATTAAATTTTGTTGTGATATATATTGAATTCGCAGAGATTTGAGTTTCAATAATCTAGAAGGAGGGATTGATGGTCTTCAAGATCTTGCTAAAGTGCAATTCATGTGAGTAAACAATTACTTTTGATGTTAACGATTACGTATGATCTATTTGGTCATATTGTTCTAATAGACATCTAAACAACATTCTAGTTATGTTTCTTATACTCGCATTTGGTTGTTGTTCTAGGTATCTTACGAATAACTCACTTAGTGGACCGATTCCTCAGTGGATTCTAAGTCAAGATTCCAGACAGTAAGTTCAGTCTTATACATTAGATGAGTTGTTTATATCTGAGTTTTCAACTATTCTTTGTCATAAAAAGCACTAACGGATTTAGAAGTTGGTGTGCAGTGACATCGATCTTTCCTATAATAATTTTGATGAAAGCTCAGTGCCAACAAATTGTCGGGAAACCCTGTAAGATTCTGTCCCTTTTATACCCCTACTCTTTCAAGTGCGCCTTCAAACATGGATCATTTTAGCTGACTTTCTCATTGTTCTATCAGAAATTTGTTCAAAAGCTATAAGGCTGGAGAAAGTTCGTAAGTTTTAACATCTTTCGACAAAGCATATATGTACATATATATTGATAATGTAATTTAGTCCCCAAAGATTTTTTTTTTTTTTTTTTACTTGAGCTCCGTTTTGGCTTTGTATAGAGATGCTGCAAAGTGTTTTCTGCAATGTTCGAAGGGTAAGCACATCCGATCCTCAAAGTGTTAGCCGTTTTCTGTATAAATATATCATTGTATGACTAATGTCTAGTTCATTTTTCTGCAGATTGGTATTCAATTCACATCAATTGTGGCGGGGGCAATGTTTTGATTGGTGACACTACATATGACGCAGATGAAGATTCCACTGGCTTCACGAAATTTGTTCCCACTAGAGAGAACTGGGTAACGAGTAGTACAGGGGTCTTTTGGGATAGAAATAAAACACTGCTCGACTATACAGCAAAAAATAAATCTGTCATCGAGGGAAATGACCCTCAACTCTACCAGACAGCTCGCTTGTCTCCTTTATCTCTGACTTATTATGGACGGTGTTTAGCGAATGGAAACTATACCGTGAAACTTCACTTTGCAGAGGTAGTTATGAGAGATAATAGATCGTTTCAAAGCCTTGGAAGACGCGTATTCGATGTTTATATACAGGTGAACTAAGAATTACAGTTTAAAGTGAGGACTTCAACTGTTAAATGATGTGCATTTGACTATATATAGTGGTTTTATTGGTTCCAGGGTGAAAGGAAATTAAAAGATTTCGATATTGAAACCGTTGCACAAGGAGTCGATAAAGCCTTGGTTGAACAATTTCGAGCAGTAGTCAAAGATAAAACTCTAGAGGTGCGCTTTGAGTATGCTGGGAAAGGAACAACAGCGGTCCCGAGTAGAGGAACATATGGCCCTTTAATATCTGCCATTTCTGTGGAATCTGGTAATCTCTCCTATATATTACCTATGGGAAAATGTTTTATCCTCCCTAATAGTCTTAAACCTGCATACATCTCATTTAATCTCATTTTCAGAAAATTTTTAAAATCTAATTTAATCTCATGCCATTTTTACCTGCAGATTTCAAGCCTCCTCACAAGAGAAAGACTTTAATTATAGCTGTTGCACTAGCTTCTTCTTTATTTCTTATTTTCACAATTCTCTGTTTTGCTTGGTGGAAAATCTACATCAGAAAAAAGACCTCACAAGAAAACGGTACTTTGACTTTGCAACAATTTGTGCGTGCACACACTTCACATAGTATCAAATATGCACACACGTTGAGCAACCTCAGCCAAGTTTGTCATGTTGTTGACTTGGTAACCACAAGATTACAAGTTCGACTCCTAGCGGAGCGGCCTGTTGGCTTTCTTGGTTTGAGCCGGTCAGCTGTGGAAAACCTAGGCTGGTTTACCATCTTTTGATTCTCTGCCAGTTAGGGTTACAAGGCGGGAATTACCCAGTGCACACCCCTGGTAGTGGTTGCGAGTTCATTTGGGGAGGGGAAGGAGGAGGGCTTGTTGAAGATGTGCTTGCAGAGGCATCATCACAAACTTTTTTTTTTTCATGCACTATAAATTATATTTCTTAAACTTTTTTTTGGTGCAGAACTACAAAGTCTTGATCTACGAACGGGTCTATTTACCTTAAGACAAATTAAAGCCGCTACAAACAACTTTGATGCTGCAAATAAGATTGGGGAAGGTGGTTTTGGGCCCGTATACAAGGTATAGTGAAATATATGTGGATATTCATAATATGTTTAGTACTCCGATCCGTATGTCACCCTACATATATCAACACTTGTTTTTGGGCTTACTATCATCCATAGATGCTTATGTTGATGTTTTGGGATTTTCCCTTCTGTATAAAACTAGGGTACACTATTGGATGGTACAATTATTGCTGTGAAACAACTCTCATCCATATCAAGACAAGGAAACCGTGAATTTTTGAATGAAATAGGCATGATTTCTTGTTTACAACACCCTAATCTTGTGAAACTTTATGGGTGTTGTGTTGAGGGAAGACAACTGTTGTTGGTGTATGAGTACATGGAAAACAACAGCCTTGCTCATGCTCTTTTTGGTAAGTTCAAAGTCTTAATTATTTTGGCTGCTAGTCAATAAACAAAGGCATGGGTGTTATGAGTTTACGGTTAATTACAGGTCCCGAAGAGTGGCAACTGAAAATAGATTGGTCTACCAGACAAAAAATCTGTGTTGGCATCGCAAAAGGTTTAGCTTTCCTCCACGAAGAATCAGCATTAAAAATTGTTCATAGGGACATTAAAGCCACCAATGTGCTTCTTGACAAAGAACTCAATCCAAAAATTTCTGACTTTGGCCTAGCTAAACTTGCCGATGATGGGAATACACACATCATTACAAGAGTTGCGGGGACAATGTAAGATGTTATAACAATTCCTCGTCCATTATGTATTTCGAAATTCATCATATAGTTTTTAATTAAAAGAACAATTAGGCTTGCAACATTGCATCTTGTTGCCATAGGTTGATAGAATTGATCACATTTGCCAAAATTTTGAATCTCCAAACTTCTTTGTACGCTTCTCTGCATTTAGTTTTTCAAGAAAATGAACTGTTATTCTTTACTTTTTTTTTTTTTTTTTTTCTCTACAGAGGATATATGGCTCCTGAATATGCAATGTGGGGCTACTTAACAGACAAAGTTGATGTTTATAGTTTTGGAGTGGTAGCATTGGAAATTGTTGCGGGAAAGAACAACATGAAGTATCGTCCTAATGAGAACTACGTTTGCCTTCTTGATTGGGTAAGATATATATCAAGATTACCAAACTCATATATACATACATTGCAGACCTTACGGGATGGCTTATTCTTATTCAATTCTCTGCTGTGTTTTGTTGTATTTATGCACGCTTTTTAGGCACTTGTTCTTCAAAGAAAAGGAAATCTAATGGAGCTAATAGATCCAAGATTGGGTTGTGATTTCAACAAAGAACAAGCAATCAGAATGATCAAAGTGGCTTTGCTTTGTACTAATCCTTCTCCAGTCCTAAGGCCATCCATGTCTGCCGTAGTCGGCATGCTTGAAGGCCATGATGATATTCTTGAGTACAATTTCGATCTTCACGAATTCAATTTTGAAGTAATGAGGGACGGTTATGATGAAATGCCAGTCGGCTCGAGTACATCTTCCAACAAAGTAGAATTTTCTTCCTAAGCAAATCAATGATATACCATTATCATTAATGAGTTAAGGTTTTTTGTAGATGTTCTATCATCGTATTGCACCTGGAACGTGAACTATCATAGTCAGGGTATCGGCAGATGTTAGTAAAAGAAATAAATGTTGCTTTTTTGAAAAAGAAAGAAGCTATTGTGCATATCTCTCAAAGAGCAACGCCTGAAAAGCTAAAGAGCAACGACCAATCAAAACAGAGAAAAAGAAAACCATTAATATAAAATGAAAATTACATAGTTTTGGACCAAGGTCCATAATGCTATGTGGACCCTAGTCCATAATGCTTGAGCTAGCTTCCACATAACTTTCATGACTAGTGTTTGATTTGCTTTTTTACTCTTGCCTATTTTCTACTCCTAAAGGATGACACTCTGATCTGTAAAACCACCACTTCACACACTCATCACCCGTTTAGACCATATTTAATAATTTTTTATACAGTAATTTTATTTGTACAAAAGAAAATGAGAATAATAAGTTTACGTAATTAAGTTATAAAAAAAAAATCTAAGGAACTTAGGGGTCTTTTGAAATATTATGATCTTTTTGATTGTGTATGACTTGAGTCCATGTTATCATATATGAATGTATGATTCCTACTCCATGATATAACCATTGGTTTTTTTTTTTTTTTTTTTTTGCCTAGTGTTGTTTGTGTATTATCTGTTCAATATACTTTCTCTATCAATTGTAACGCAAAGAGTCAATACCCCACCACCAAGGTCCTATGACCTTCCCTCAAGAAGAACCACATGCCAATTGGACACAATTAAGGTGCTTGGCTTGCCTAGCTAGTGCAATATTATATAAAACTAAAACCTTTTTTTTTTTTTTTGGCAAATTCATAACTTTCTACCACATAGCTGAATTATCTCGTTGCAACCTGATTAATTTATAAGTTTCTTGTATCTCACAAGTTTTATTAAGATCCAAATTGCTCAAAGTAATTAAAAACTTGTAGAAAGTGTATTTGATACACACTTGATATTAATGAATCTTGTTTTTCCTTGTGTTTTCTTACACTAAAATACAATATTTTCTAATAACACTGACTAGTGTAATTCCTTATTTAGATCTGTGCACTCTGTCTAGTCGGGAGAAACGTTTGAATTGACTTGCATTTCATCATAATGATCTCTCATTGCTTCAAAGTTAAATTCGTGTAAATCGGATTTGTACTCAAGAATATCATCTTGGCCTTCAAGCATCCTGACTACTGTAGACATGGATGGCCTTAGGACTGGTGAAGGATTAGTACAAAGCAGTGCCACTTTGATCATTCTGAGTGCCTCTTCTTTGTCAAAATCAGAACCCAATCTTGGGTCAATTAGCTCCATTAGATTCCCCTTTTTTTGAAGATCAAGTGCCTGAAATTTGTGCAATAAATACAACAAAACATAGTAGAATATAAGAATAGGCCACTTAGTTTGTAAGGTATACAATCAATGAATTGAGTTTGGTAGTAATGATATCTCACCCAATCAAGGATGCAAATAAAGTTCTCATCGGGACGATACTTCATGTTGCTCTTCCCTACAACAATTTCTAGTGCCACTACTCCGAAACTATAGACATCTGCTTTGTATGTTAAATAGCCCCACATTGCATATTCGGGAGCCATGTATCCTCTATAGATAAGTAAAGAATAATAGTTCATTTTCTTGAAAGATTCAATGTAGAGAAGTGTATAAAGAAGTCGGAAGATCCAAATTTTGTCTGAATGAAGTAATCAATTCAAAACTTTAGCAATGTTTCACAACATCAATGAACTTTTTAAAAATAAAGTTGTTTATGTAGCCTACAATTACTTTCAACTGTATGAAGAATTTGGAAATGCAAAATGAACAGGAAACTATACAAGATAACACTTACATTGTCCCAGCAACTCTTGTGCTAATATGTGTATTCTCATCATCGTTAAGTTTAGCAAGGCCAAAGTCAGAAATTTTTTAATTGAGTTCTTTGTCAAGAAGCACATTGGTGGCTTTTATGTCTCTATGAACAATTTTTATTGCTGATTCTTCATGCAGAAAAGCTAAACCTTTTGCAATACCGAGACAGATTCTTTGTCGGAAAGGCCAGTCTATTTTCAGTTGACACTCTTCTGAACCTATAATTAACTGTTAAATCAAAACACTTATCTTTTGTCTCAATAAAATAAACTAAACCCTCTCTACTCTAGTATAGTAGCATATCTTACATATACATATAAAGAAAATTATTGTTTTTATTATCTGTTAAATTAATTATGATTTCAAATTTACCAAAAAGAGCATGAGCAAGGCTATTGTTTTCCAAGTACTCGTACACCAGCAGCAATTGCTTTCCCTCAACACAACACCCATAAAGTTTCACAAGATTAGGATGCTGCAAACAAGAAATCATGCCTATTTCATTTAAAAATTCGCGATTTCCTTGACTTGATTTGGATGAGAGTTGTTTTACAGCAATAATCGTACCATCCAATAATATACCCTATACACATGGGAAAAATCTAAGATCATTAACACAAGCATCTAAATAAGTCCAAAAGCAAATATGTCAAGGCCTGAATTAACAGATATTATGAATAATCATATTTCACTATACCTTGTAGACAGGTCCAAAGCCACCTTCTCCAATCTTATTTGCAGCATCAAAGTTGTTTGTAGCGGTTTTAATTTGTGTGAAGGAAAACAGTCCTGTTCCTAGATCAACATCTCGTTCTCCTGTACAAGAACAATTACTTTAATGAGATTTCTAATGCAAGCTAAGGAAGAATGATTTTTGGGATTGAATCTGCATGGCACATATGACTGCATGCACAAATTGTCAGTGTCCAAGTTTCTCATACAAAATTAGAAAGTAATTGAAATTAAATTGCATATATTACCTCTTCCTGGTGAGGTCTTGTTTCTTATGTAGATCTTCCACCAGACAAAACAGAGAATTGTGATAGTAAGAAACAAAGAAAAAGTTACTGCACCAACTATGATTAAAGTCTTTCGCTTTTTGGGAGGCTTGACGAAAGTCTTTTGCTGTTCGGGAGGCTTAAAATCTACAGAATTGGCTACAAAGTAACAAAAATATTAATAAAAACCTAAATATATAAATATGTGCTTTTAATTAAAAATATGGAATCCATAACTAATTTTACCAAATTTCACAGAAATGGCAGATATTAAAGGTCCATATCTTCCTTTCCCAGCATACACAAATCGCACCTCTAGAGTTTTATCTCTAACAATTATTTGAAATTCTTTAACTAAGGCTTTATCAACTCCTTGTGCTTCAGTTTTAATTTCAAAATCCTTTAATTTCATTTCACCCTGTAGTAAATAAAATCATCATAGTCAAATACACATCATTTAATCATTGAAGTCCTCAATTTAAATTGAAATTTTGAGTTAACCTGTATGTAAACATCAAATATGCGTCTTCCAAAACTTTGAAAAGATCTATTATCTCTAATAACTATCTCTGCAAAATGAAGTTTCACAGTATAGTTTCCATTTGCCAAACAACGCCCGTTATACGTTAGAGATAAAGGAGACAAACGAGCAGTCTTGTAAATTTCAGAGTCTTCTGCATTGACGACAGATATATTTGTTGCCGTATACCGTGTATAGTTATCTGACATTGAGTCCCAAAAGTACCCTGTATTAGGGGCTACCTAGTTCTCTGTATTGGAAACAAATTTGGCAGGTCCAACAGAATCTTTATCTGCGTCATATGTAGTGTCACCAATCGAAACATTGCCTCCACCACAATTGATGTGAAATGAATGCCAATCTGCAGTGAAATGATATACAGAGAAAAGGATGTTGCTTGTCATTGGTTATCAGCAGCACTAATGCATTAATGTATTGTGATATGATGTGCTTACCTTTCGTGCATTGCTTTAGACATTGTCCAATTTCTCTGTAAAAAGCCAATTCAAATTACATTATGAGTGTCCTTGGAGACTAAATTGCATTATGAGTGTCAACATAATATTCATGGTTTGTTAGGGGATCTATGTTAAAACTTACTCATTTTCTCCTCCTCCATTATAGTTTTTGAACAAGTTTCTGCGAGGAAAATGAGAAAGCTAAAATGATCCATACTTGAAGAAAGACTTGAAACAGTAGATGCATATAAGAGGTAGAATATATCTTACAGGTTTTCCCGATTGCAAATTCGTGACATAGAGCTCTCCTCAAAATTATTGTAAGAAAGATCTATGTAACTGGACATTGGATGGTCGTTGAAATTTTCTATTAGTGCTTTTATGATGAATATTTGAAATGAGTTCATGTACAATACTACAAATTAAAACTCATCACAAGACTGAACTTAATACCTGGTGTTTAGATTTAGAACCCATTCAGGAATTTTCCCACTAAGGGAGTTGTTCGTTAGAAACCTAAGAATAGGTAGAGCACAAAATTCAATTTAGTAATATTGAATTCACACACAAGAAAAAACAGAGAGAAGTTATCCTCAACTGAATCACAACAATGAGAAAAATAACTAGAATGCTGATTAGATTTCTATTAAAACAAAATGCCTAAATATAAAAGAAATTACTTATGCAAAATCATTAACATCAAAATTGATTTGTTACTCACATGTATTGCAATTTCTCCTCAAACCCTTCAAGCCCTTGAAGCCCTCCTTCGAGATAATTAAAGCTCAAATCTCTGCAAACTTAATATCATAACAAATATGGAAAACAAGCAATTTCCCAACAAAAATAGTTCAGAGATTTAGTTACTGACATGATTTGCAAGTTTGTCATATGTTGTAAATTAGGTAAATTCCCAGAGATGTTACACCTACTCAACATCCTGCACCAAAAATTATTTTTTTCATCAATAACTTCACTTCATAGTGGAATTATGAAACTTCAGTTCATATTTTTGGAAAGAAAATGCATTACTCACAACTCTGTCATGTCTGTCATGTCATTTAATGTAGGAAAACTCGAGACACCTCCATTTAGGTCACTGATTCTACTGCAGGTTTATGTTGTTGACAATAATATTTTATTTTGTTGATTTTGACCATAGAAAATTCTGCTATAATCAGAACTTGAGTATTAATTAAATTGTAAAGGAAATCTTAACTCATAGTATCATCAAGCCTGTCGGTACAAAATTATTTTGAGGTATGGGTCCTTCAAAACCACTTGCTTGAAGATCTCTGCCAATCATATATGCTTGTCAACAAAAAATGATTTTATCCACAAATTTCAATTCTGAAGTGTAAGATTTGAATACTTACAGCATAAGAAGGTTTTTCAAATGTTGAAAGCTAGGCATTTTCCCAGTGAAGTTATTATTGCTGAGCATACTGTATTTTATTTCCCCAGGACACATGACAAGTCAACATAAAGTATAGAAGAACGACATATTAAAGAGGTGTATGTATAATTGAAGAATATCCATGATACGCATGATGCACTTACAGATAGGTCAAATTTGTGAGAACATTAAGTTGTAGCATTGGCAATTCACCTGTGAGATAATTACCACTAAGAATGCTACAAACAACAAAAATAGAGAGAGCATCAAATAAGTCATATAACAAAAATTTAAAATTTAACCAATAGATCGATATTCAGCTAGAGATGAGAATGATTCATATATTTGATTAACAAAAGCTTACAGATACTGTAAGTTGGCAAGATTCACAAGGTCTGGTGGAATAGTTCCATTGAACATATTGTTCTGCAAGTTTCTGAAAATTCATATGTTATGTTGTTACAACAAATTAAATCACAAATGATAAGAACCTCAACAAATGTTAAACAAAAGTTTTAGTTGTGTAAGTAGAGTGAGAGGAGCAAGAGAACATACAAATATGTAAGAGTTGATATATTTCCCAAGTAGTATGGAATTGGCGCAGACAATCGATTCACATTAAGAGATCTGCAAATTTTCACTTCGATCTTTAGCATGGACAAGCAGATGGCATACACTTGTATAGCTTAGGTTACAATACACAATACAACTTACATATATTCCAATTTGGTAGAACCCCATTGAGGGGGAATTGTACCACTTAAATAGTTGGAGCTGAGATCACTGCATTAAACAATACTATTAATCAAGCAAGCAATATATACAACAGATTATTGCATAAACATAGAAAGTCGTGTTATTACATTATCTTGAGAAAGGATAACTTCACCAAGGAAGGAGGAAGGACACCTTGCAGATCCTGTCCACTTAAAACTCTGTGTACACAAAACATGGAGACTAATTTGTTGGGGGTTTTCAATGAATTTTGTCAGATTATATTGCATAGCATGAGAGAGGGAGAGTGCTGAATGTCAGTTGAAAAAAAAAAAAAAAAAAAAAAAGGAAAAAGTTGCACGCGCCATCTGGGCGCCTTCTCCCCATTTAAAATCTTTTCAAAAAAAAAACTACAATTATGGATGCTCTAATAAGGATCAAGTTCCCTCAAATTTATATTTGAACACTTATAGAACATTTTACTATACCCGGCCAAATATAATCCAATTTCTCTTTCTACATTTTGCCGATGTGGGACTAATCATAACATAATATAGGAATACTATTAATGTTTTTTTTTTTTTTTGAAGACTACTGACTCTATTACATTGTAGTATCAGTTCATACATACTTTCTCAACCTAATGAAGCACACAGAATCAGCAACGCCTCTACTGAAGCTCGTTCTCATGACCTCCCACATAAGAAAGGTCACTACATGTCATCTGAGCACAAGGTGCTTGGCAAGAATACTATTAATGTAAGACTTTACTAATAACATATTGAAGGCAATCATTAATGTAACACTAAATTAATAAAGAGCAACAAGTAAAAAACCAACCCAAAGACACACTTCCAAGAAAAATGTCACAAGCTTGAGCCGTAACATAATGAGAGAGTTGGATAGAAGGATAAGCTTACAAGCTTTGCACATGGCAAATACCACCACGGAAGTTACAATTGCAATTGATAGCATTAGTGTACAGAGGCATATCTTCCCTATATGGTGTGTACCAGTTTGAGTTGATGTCACAAGGATTTAGTCCAAAGTCCCAATCCTTCTTTCCCACTTCACCTGCTATTTCCTTAAGTGCATTTACTTCCAGATACATAATGAAACAAATTAAATTAAGCTAGGTGTTAATAAATATGTAATTTGCATGTAATGACGACAAAGTGAATATTAGAGAAAATTGATAATCAACAGATCAGAGAGCTGAGGGGGCTCACATTCATTTTGAGGAAGATGCCCACTCTGTGCTTCAACAAATCTTGCAGTGAAGAAGAGTAGTATAATTGGTATGAGGATTATGAACTTGACCGCAGACATGCTTGATTTCTGGGGAAGGTCCGATCTGCTCCAGGTTCTAACATATATATTTAGTGGTGTGTCACATTTCAATATTTAGTCATATACACACAAGAAAACAATTGTTGACATTTGACCTTGAGTTTGGGACCACATTTCATTTATACTCTGGCATCCTTGGTAGTCAAGTTTTTGGGGTGGTTTTTGATATGCCAACTAAGAAAGAGAGGAGGGAAAAATAAGAAGAAAAAAAAAGTTAAAAATAAAAAAAGAATGGCTGAGGTGCCAACGGGCATGTGCACTACTGCACGCACCGCGGGGCGCGATCCATGCGCCCCAGGATGTGTCTTTTCCTTCCCCTTTCTCTCTCCTGTTGGTCCCACAAAAAATCAATATTTGTAGGAAGAACTCAACCACTCTCTCTCATTCACATCACTCATATTTCTTCAAAAACTGGTCCAAAATTCACTAATGTGGATGGCCTAAGCCTTCTAAGTATGCAACGGGTTGTTATATCATTGACCGCGGTGCACGTGGACCGCGGTCAAAACGGCGATGTTTCTTCACTTTAGATAGCTTTCACACCGAATTCTTCTCAATTCCCTTTGAACCTTATCAAGCACCGATTAACCCTCTTCTTTGAATGGGCGATTTCACTTTAGATAGCTTTCATATGTATCGGTTCTTCTCAATTATCTTTGATCGTATCAACCACAGAACAACCCTTTTCCACCATACAGTAGCCGCCTATCAATGCAAATATCAAATGATACGACACTTAAGTCAATACATTAGCCATTTCCCACCAGGCCACCACACACTTGCCACTCAATGGAAGCACTAAATGATGCCACAATTTTGAATTTGGAGATATCAAGTTTGAAATAATGACAAAGAACCATAAGACGTGTGGAAAAACCAAGTTTAAGACGTGTGGAAAGACCAAGGGCCATGCTGCATAAGTCTTAGTCTTCATTGGTATAGTCTTCAATATTGAAGTTCCAAAAAGAAAAAAGAGGGAAGCTTCTAATAATAACACATGGTATTGTTCCATGATACGCCCCTAATTGTGGAATAATATAAGTAGGAATAGATTGTGTAGCTTAATTACGGAGAATTAATTGTGTTCATGCAATTTTAGGAAAAAAAAAATAGTGGCATTATGGTAATTTTTTCTAACTTCAAAAGTGTAATTTTTAAGTGCATTTCTCAATAAACACTTTAATAATAAACCTAAATCATAAAAAAAATAAAGCCTAAGCTGTAAAAATTGAAACCCCAAACCAAACCAAACCAAACCAAAATCATAAACTCTAAAAGATGAACCTCTAATGAACTATAACGTGTACTTTCAAACTAGCCAAAATATATGGTATAATATTGTAAAGTGCACCGTATAATATTGGATAGTGCAGTTTTTTTAAATTGGATCGAGAAAGTTACTAAAATGTCGCTAAGGTTTTTTTTCCCTCTTTGTTTTATAAATTTTAGATCTTGCCCGATAGAATATTTGTTTCTCAGAAGGTTATCCCTTTTAGCTATTTTATTTTTCCTTGAAGATATTTTTGAAATATAAAAACAGAATTATGCACATTAATTTGCTTGGTAATAGTGCTAAGGTCCTTAACTTTGGAAGGAAGGAAATAAGAAGAGTTTATTAACTAGACATGTTTCCAATTTTTTAGAGATATTGAAAATACGATAATGAAAACAGAAAATGTGTTTACTTATACATTTTTAAACTTTGAAAATAGAGTATGGAGAATGGAAAACTAGATAAATGAAAACTAGAGGATTGAAGTAAATGCAACCACACGACTAGCTACTACAAATATAACGATGGTTGATTTGCATCTAAAGAAAAATTTACATTGTAGGAAGACTCGCTTAAATCGACTGGCATTTCATCATAATGATCTCTGATTTCTTGAAAATTGGATTCGCGTAGATTGGAATTGTTCTTGAGAATATCATCATGGCATTCAAGCATGTTGACTACTGCAGACATGGATGGCCTAAGCATAGGGGAAGGATTAGTACAAAGCAAAGCCACTTTGATCATTCTGAGTGCTTGTTCTTTGTCATAATCATAACCCAATCTTGGATCCACTAGCTCCAATAGGTTTCCTTTTTCTTGAAGAACAAGTGCCTAAAAATGTGCATAGATAGATACAACAAAACAATGTAAAGTATTAAGACTATGCCACTTAGTTTGAAGGTTTGGAATCTATGAGCTTGGTAGTCTTGAAATCTCACCCAATCAAGAAGGCAAACGCACTCCTCGTCATGACGATACTTCATGTTGTTCATCCCGGCAACAATTTCTAATGCCACTACCCCAAAACTATAGACATCAGCTTTGAATGTTAAGTAGCCCCATAATGCATATTCAGGAGCAGTGTATCCCCTATAGAGAAAATGGAGAAAGCAACAATTTCTTACAACTATATGCATGATGGATCTTGATCGAAATACAAAATGGACAATAATTTGTTTAACATCTTACATTGTCCCAGCAACTCTTGTGCTGATGTGTGACTTGTCATCATCATAGAGTTTAGCTAAACCAAAGTCAGAAATTTTTGGATTGAGTTCTTTGTCAAGAAGAACATTGGCGGTCTTGATGTCTCTATGAACAACTTTTATTGCCGATTCTTCATGCAGAAAAGCTAAACCTTTTGCAATACCAACACAAATACTTTGTCTTGTAGGCCAGTCTATGTGACACTCTTCTGAACCTGTTATTGGCTATTAACTTAGAATACTTAATGTTTATCTTGATAAAATAAACTAAATCCTCACTTTTCTACTATTAGGATATATATCTTGTATATAGACAACGAATTGAAATGTCTTTGTTCATATTATTGGCTTTTTTAAAAAAAATTGTGAGTGGCAACAGAAATAATAAAATTATGATTTCAAATTTACCAAAAAGAGCATAGGCAAGGCTGTTATTTTCCATGTACTCGTACACCAGCAACAATGGTTTTCTCTCAACACAACACCCATAAAGTTTCACAAGATTAGGGTGCTGCAAACAAGAAATCATGCCTATTTCATTCAAAAATTCACGGTATCCCTGTCGTGATTTGGTTGAGAGTTGTTTTACAGCAATAGTTGTACCATCCAATAATGTACCCTAATTTTATACACAAGGGAAAATCCAAGATTATCAACATAAGCATCTATAGTAAGCCTGAAAACAAAAGTTATGAATTAGCACATTGACATATTGTGGATATTTGTATTTCTCTATACCTTGTATACAGGTCCAAAACCACCTTCTCCGATCTTATTTGCAATATTGAAGTTGTTTGTAGCAGCTTTAATTTGTTTGAAGGTAAATAGACCAGTTTTTAGCTCAAGGCCTTGTAGTTCTGCACCAAGAAAATTACTTTTAATGAAAAAAATTTTTAAAAAAAATTGTGTGAATCTGCAAGGCACATTATCAACAAGCTTATGATTGTTTTGTGATGCCAAGAGCAACCATGGGCACGTTTTAGATATTTCTAATTTATTGTTTTTTGGGGATGACAGGAGAAACCCGCAGTTACTACTTAAGGTGTGCGCGGGAAAATTAGCCAGCAAAAGACCACAAGGAGGTAAGCCAATCTAAGTCACCCATAGCTGACCGGTTAAAACCAAGAAGGCCAATAGGCTGCTCCCACTAAGAGTTGAACGAACTAATGCATGCACAAATTGTCACAATGTCCAAGTTTCCCGTGCAAAATTAGAAAGTAATTAAAAGTAGATGCAAATATTACCCTTTTCCTTTGAGGTCTTGTTTTTAATGTAGATCTTCGACCCAGCAAAACAGAGGATTGTGAAAATAAGAAATGAAGAAGAAGCTATAGCAACAACTATGATTAAAGTCTTTCTGTTCTTGGGAGGTTTGAAATCTGCAGGTTTGTTGGAAGGGGATGAAAGTGAGTTAGATATCTTTTATATATTTATGTGCACTAAACAGAAACAAAGAAAAAACAGAAACAAAGAAAAAGTAATATGCAAAATTGGCTAAAAATAACTAAATAATAACCACATTTAAAATTTAAAAAGCCAAAATATATCAACTATATATGCTATTTATTAAAACTCTAATTGATTTATTATATGGGAGTCATCACTAATATTACCAGATTCCACAGAAATGGCAGATATTAAAGGGCCATATGATCCTTTAATTGGGGCTGCTGTTATTCCTTTTCCAGCATATTCAAACCGCACCTCAAGAGTTTTATCTTTGACTATTGCTTTAAATTGTTTGACCAAGGCCTTATCAACTCCTTGTACTTCAGTTTCAATATCAAAATCCTTTAATTTCCTTTCACCCTGTAGCCATAAAATCACTATGGTCAACTGCACATCACTCGGTGGTTGAATTGATCAGTTTAAACGGTAAAGTTCTTATTCGACCTGTATATAAACATCAAATATGCGTCTACCAAGACTTCGAAAAGATCTACCATCTCTCAAAATTATCTCTGCAAAATGAAGTTTCACATTGTAGTTTCCATTTGCTAAACAACGTCCTTGATATGTCAGAGATAAAGGAGACAAACGAGCCGTCTGGTAGATTTCAGAGTCTTTTCCCTTGATGACTGATATATTTGTTGTTGTATAGTCAGATAAATTTAAGGTTCTATCCCAAAAGTACCCCGTATTACTAGTTACCCAGTTCTCTTTGTTAGAAACAAATCTCGCATAGCCCGATGAATCTTTATCTGCGTCATATGTAGTGCCACCAATTACAACATTGCCTCCTCCACAATTGATGTGAAATGAATACCAATCTGCACAAAATGAAAAAAAAAAAAAAAAAAAAAAAGCACTGTGAAAGAAGTTCAACTCAACTAAGCAAGGGATACATGATGCAAGTATTGTGATATGATGTACTAACCTTTAGTGCAATTCTTTAGACACTTTCCAAATTTTCTATATAAAGCCAAAAGGTAAGTAAAGTTAGAGATCTTCAATTTAGAGACTAAATTACTTTAAGATCAGAGTTACACTATATTCACGCTTTAATTTATTAGAGGATGTTAAAACCTACCCATTTTCTCCTCCATTATAGCTTTTGAACAAGTTTCTGAAGCAAAATGAGAAAGCTAAAATCAACCATATTTGAAGGAATACTTGAAAGAGTAATGCATAAAAGACCCAAATCTTACAGGGTTTCCCGATTGCAAGTTGGCGACAAAGAGTTCTCCTCAAAATTATTGTAAGAAAGATCTGTATAACTGTACGTCATTGTTTAAATTCTATTAGTGCTTTTTTTAGACGACAGTAGTTGAAAAGAGTTCATGTACAATACTGGATATATAACTAACTTTAAAGACTGAACTTACTATGTGGAACCTCGATTTAGAACCCATTGAGGTATTTGCCCACTGAATGAGTTGCTCGTTAGATACCTAAGAAGCAAGTAATATTCAATTCATCATTTAAATTGAAAAATAAAAATTAAAAAAACAACAAAGAGTGGTTATTAGTTTAGAATGGAAGTTTCTTGTGCATAATGGTTAACATCAAATGGATTTGTTACTCACATGTACTGCAGATTATCAAGACCCTGAAGACCATCAATCCCTCCTTCCAGATTATTAAAACTCAAATCTCTACAAACTCAATATCATAACAGAACAGTAAAGCAGAGAATATATGATATGATATTAGAAAAATAGATCTAATAGTTCATTAATTTACAGCTGAGAAGGATGAAGAGAAAATTCTAGTTGCAGAAATTACAGTTGTTGCAAGCTGTTCATATTAGCTAAATCAGGTATCTTCCCCGAAATATTACACCTCCTCAACATCCTGCACCCAAAATTATTTTTTGCGTAAATAACTTCACTTCATAGTGGAATTATGAAACTTATATTAAGGTCATTTTTTAAAAAGAAAAGGCATTACTCACAGCTTTGTCATGTTTGTCATGTGCTTTAATGTAGGAAATCTGGAGACACCACCTCCATTTAGGTCACTGATTCTACTGCAGATTCATGTTATTCACAATTACATTTTAGTATGTGGATCGTAACGATAGAAAGTTCTACTATAAACAAAACGTGTATGAATATTAACTAAATTGTCAAAAGAAATCTTAACTCACAGTTCTATAAAGCTTGTCGATACAGAAATATTTTTTGGTATGGGTCCTTCAAAACCACTTGCTTGAACCTCTCTGCCAATTATATATGCTTGTCGATAAGAAATGTTTTCAATTTTAGAGCGTTAGATTTGAGTGCTTACAGTTTTTGAAGGTTTTTGAAAGTTTGAAAGCTAGGCAGTTTCCCTGTGAAGTTATTACTGCTGAGCCTACTGCATTGATGAACACATGACAAGTGAGCATAAAGTGTAGAGGAAACAAGAAAAGAGGTTCATCACAAATTACTTACAACTCTATCAAATTTGTGAGAGCATTAAGTTCTTTTGGAAATTCACCTGTGAGATAATTACCACTAAGAAAGCTACAGAAAGCGAAAAAGAAGAAATCATCAAACAAGAAAAAAAAATTCAGCCCATATATGATGAGAAAGATTCTTTTATTTAATTTGATTAACAAAGGCTTACAAATTTTGTAAGTTGACAAGTTTCCCAAGCTCAGGTGGAACACTTCCACTGAACATATTGTACTTCAAGTTCCTGAAAGTTTATTTAATTTGTTGTTAGAACAAAACACAAACAATAAGTTCCCCATAATAAAAAGTTAAACAAAAGTTTTACTTGTGTAAGTAGAGTGATATATAGGAGCAAGAGAACATACAAATATGTAAGCGTTGTTATATTTCCCAAGTATTTTGGAATCGGCCCAGACAATCGATTCACAGCAAGAGATCTGCAAATCTTTACTTCTTTAGCATGGACTAGCAGATGGCTTACATTTATATAGCTTAGGTTATAATACACAACACAACTTACACAAGTTCCAGCTTCATAGAAGCCCATTCCGGGGGAATTGTACCACTTAAGTAATTGCGGTTGAGGTCACTAAAGAAAATAATACTAATAATCAAGCAAAGAATATGAATAAGAAGAGTGATTATTGCATAAATGTAGAAAGTGTTTGTACATTCTCTTGAGAAATGGCAACTTCACCAAGGCGGGAGGGAGGACACCTTGCAGATCCTGTCCCCTCAAATTTCTGCTTAAACAACCATAGAGACTATTAGAACCATGAGGGTACACTAGTAACCTTAAGCAAATTCATCTTTATACAACATAAAGTATCTGCGTTGTTTGGCAATTAGCTTAATCATGATTATGTTACATAATTTGACAATTGTTTGTAGAGTGGTTGGTAAATGTCAAAAAAAAAAAAAAAAAAAAAAAAACTGAATTATTACTTATCCAATAATAGTGGGTCAAAACCATCAGCGTTTAATTTTAACAATCGTTATATCGTGCACTAGGGCGCACAATGCATGGTGCGCCCGGACCAAAACGACGTCGTCTTTTATGGTCAGATTTTATGTGTATTATGCTAAGAGTTTATGTGTATTATGTTATGAATTTATGTGTATTATGTATTATGTTAGATTATGTGTATTCTGTTATGAGTTTATGTAGATTCGAAACATGAGATTTTTATTTTAGAAGTTAACGGTAGAAACGGGAAACAAAATTTCTAAAAAAAAATATGACCAAAACGACGTCATTTTGGCCAAGGCGCACAATGCATTGTGCGCCCTGGTGCACGATATAATTTGCATAATTTTAATGGTTTTTTTTTTTTTTTTTTTTTTTAATTCATTGATCCCCCGTCCCATTCTTGTACTTTCATTTTTGGCAAATTTTATTGTGGACAGTCCACAATGTATTGTAGTCCATTCATCAAAACGGTGCCGTTTCGTGCCGTCTCGCAAAAAGTAACTCTGTTTTTATAACATATTCAGTTTCATTTTATATACACTGCAGTTTCATTTCAACACAATTACAGTTCCATTTCGATATAACTACAGTTTCATTCGACATTATACACTCAAATATGTGAAACTGTTATTCAGATCCATTATTTTATATACACTATAGTTTCATTACAACACAATTATATTATCATTTCAATATAACTACAGTTTCATTAGACAATATACAATCAAATATGTGAAATTGTTATTCATTTTCATTTTATATACATTGTAGTTTCATTTCAACACAACTACAGTTTCATTTCGATATAACTACAGTTTCATTCGACATTATACATCAAATATGTAAAACTCTTATTCAGTTTCATTTTATATACACTATAGTTTCATTACAACACAATTACAGTATTATTTTGATATAACTACAGTTTCACTGAACAATATATACTCATATATGTGAAACTGTTATTCAATTTCATTTTATATACACTGCAGTTTCATTTCAATACAACTACAGTTTCATTTGATAATATAAAAACAATATGTGAGGCGGTTTCATTTTAGATAAACTATAGTTTTATTTTATAATTAACACACAAAAAATACAGACTCCATTAAAGTGTAACGTCAGCTATTTCTTTACTTAAAGAAACGGCTCCGTTTTTGGACCATGGTCCATGATATAATTGCTCTTCATTTTTCTCACCATATTATTATATTAACTTTTATTTAAAGGAAATTGTCTTTTTCAAAAAGAAAAAAAAAAGAAAAAAAAAAAAAAAAAAAAAAAAAAAAAAAAAGAAAATGGTCAAATAGGCCATTAAACTTTAATCAAAAAGTCAATTATTAGACCTTTCAACTTTAAAAGCGTGCAATTAATTAAACCCTTAAACATATTATTAACCCAAAAATCAATTGGTGACTAGCGTTCCGGCAAACCTCCGGCGGGAGTCCGACCATATTCTGGCCAAAAAAACACTAGTGAAACCTCGCCCGTGTTGTTTGGTCTGCCTTCTCCTTCGCAAGAGAAGGCAACCAGTCTGGTTGCCTTCTCGGCGACTTGAGAAGGCAACTAGAGTGGGTAGAAGGCAACTAGTTGGGTAGAAGGAAGAGCTTACATGAGCCGCACATGGCAAATACCAGCAGGGAAGTTACAATCGCAAGTGAGATTATTAGTGTAGAGAGGTGTATCTATGCTTTGTGGTGCCAACCAGTTGGAGTTGTTGCCACAAGGATTTAGGCTAAAATCCCAATCCTTCTTCCCCACTTGATCTGCTATTTCTTTAAGTGCATTTACTTCCATATTCATTCAAAAAAAGCTACTTGTTAATAAATATGTAATTTGCATGTAATTCATAATCAGCAAGAAAAGAACAGAGAGATGAAGCTTACGTTCATGTTGAGGAAGATGCCCACTCTGTGCTTCAAGAAATATTGGATAAAAGAAGAAGGAGAGTATAATTGGTATGAGGATTATGAACATGGAGGCTGACATGCTTGAACTCCTCAGCTTCAGTTTTTTCCTTACATATATATGCGTGTGTCATTATATATATATATATATATATATATATATATATATATATACCCACAAGAAGCTCCTCACTGTCATTGATGAGACTCGATCCCTATTTTTCTAAACTTTCACCTCTATAACCAGTTGAACTGACCCGAACAAAAATAGAGTACATGATACTATGATAGAGTTACAATTAGTTGTGGGGAAGTGGACCAGAATGAGATATTTATGCCCTTATTACTGTTTGGCTGATGCCAATATAATGAGTTTTGAGCAAGTGGCGTAACCCTTGGTGCACGATAGAATCTTAAATCGTATCGTCCAATATTTAGTGCTTGGCCGTTGGTTTAGTCACTACAAAGAAAGATACATTCATTTTTCTTTAATTTTGGTCTATTGAATGACCGTCATTGTCATATTAATGACATATGTGTATTTGTGGGTTTTAAATCCATGTTTTTTTGGTACAAGTCTACTTAAAATGTCAAATAAAGAATAATCATTTTAATTAAAAATCTAAACTAATGGTTATATATATATATATATATATATATATATATATAGGGGTGGGCGTAATTCGGATTATTCGAACCAACACCCGAAATCCGAACTGAATTTTAAATTTTGGGTAAACCCAAATAGTTATCAGTTTGGATATTTTAAATTTTGGTATATCTGAATATAAATTCGATTCGAATATCGGGTGTTAAAAATTTATCCACACCCGACCCGAAATCCGAACTAACCGAAATTTTATTATAAATATAATAATATAATTTATATATTTAGTTTTAAATGTATTTCATAATTAATAATAAATTAATTTTTAAAAGTCTATTAGTTTATTATTAGTATTTGTCTTATTTTTAGTTTGATAGTATATGAAAAAAATATAAATAATAAAATAATAAATTCATTAAAAAAAAAAACTCAAAATTGATAAAACAATATTTTGGGTATATCCAAACTAACCCGAAGTAAACCCAAAATAATTTCACCCGAACCGAACATATCCGAATTAAATTTGGTTCGGATATCGGGTGTCAAAAACATCACCCGAAATTTTTGGATATCCGAAATAAAATTCGGGTATCACCCGAACCGAACCAACTCCCACCCCTATATACCTCAAGTATACCTCAAGTATCTCATAACTCTCACTATTGCCTTCCAGTGCGCATCACTGGGGTTACTCGTATATCTACTGAGTTTGCTAACCGCAAAGGCAATATCAGGCCTGGTACAACTCATTAGATACATCAAACTTCCAATAATCCTAGCGTATTCTACTTGAGAGATACACTTTCCGCGATTTTTGGACAGATGAACGTTAGTATCTAATGGAGTCCTGGCCACTTGATAATCATCCTTGTTAAACTTTGCAAGGATTTTATCAACATAATGAGATTGGCTTAACACGAGACCATCAGGTCTTCTCACGATTCTAATCCCAAGGATTAAATCTGCCAAACCCATATCCTTCATGTCAAATCTCGAATTTAACATGTCCTTGGTAGATTTGATCATTCGATCGTTACTACCCACGATGAGTATATCATCAACATATAAACAAAGAATGACATAACCGTCTATCGTTTCCTTAACGTAGACACACTTGTCACTTTCGTTTATATTGAACCCATTGGTAGTTCCCAAGTGTGATTCTGTAGGATAGAATCCACTTCACTCTTTATAGCCTCTTTCCACATTGGTCATTCCGTAGAAGTCACAACTTCTACATACGTTTGAGGCTCGTTTTCTAACAAACATGTCAGAAAATCCGGTTCATTTTCTAGTAAACAAGTTATAATATGCGTATCACATTCTAACATGTACGTCAGAAAATATGGACCAAAGGATTTTTCAATCCTAACTCGCTTGCTACGTCTAGCTTCGAGCTCGGGTTCTATTTCAGACCCTCCACTGCCGTTATCCACAGCCTCGTCGAATGCTCGTTTCGACGTACTAGGTCCCTCACTGGGCCTACACGGAAATACATCTTCAAAGAACGATGCATTCCTTGATTCAATTATCGTGTTCTTATGTACGTCCGGATTATGAGACTCGTGTACTAAGAACCGATATGCACTACTGTTATGTGCATAGCCAATAAAGATACAGTCCACCGTCTTAGGACCTATCTTTATTTTCTTAGGTGTTGGCACCAAAACTTTGGCAAGACACCCCCACACTTTCAGGTACTGGTAAGAAGGTTTCCTACCGTTCCACAGCTCATAAGGAGTCTTATCGAGCTTCTTGCGGGGAACCTTATTTAAAAGGTAGTTACTTGTCAAAATCGCCTCACCCCACATACTTTGAGGTAGGCCCGAACTTATCAACATCGCATTCATCATCTCTTTCAATGTGCGATTTTTCCGTTCGGCAACACCGTTCGATTGAGGTGCGTAAGGTGCCGTACGCTCGTGTATGATACCTACACTTGCACAGAAGTCACCAATAGGTGCTTCGTACTCACCACCTCGATCGCTTCTAACCTTCTTAATCCTCTTATTAAGTTGGTTTTCCACTTCATTCTTATAAAGAATGAATTTATCGACGGCCTCGTCTTTGCTCTTAAGCAAATACACATAGCAGTATCGTGTGCTATCGTCGATAAACGTGATAAAATATTTATTACCACCGCGCGATTTTATTGATCTAAAGTCACATACATCTCTATGAACCAACTCAATTGGTTCTGTTTTCCTTTCAATCGATTTAAAAGGAATTTTTGTTTGTTTTGCCTCAACACAAATCTCACATTTGTGCTTATCAACTTGAAATGCAGGAATATGGTCCAAGTTAATTAATCTACGTATAGAATTAAAATTAACATGACCCAGTCTACCGTGCCACAAACACGAAGACTCAAGTAAGTAGGCTGAATTAATAACGCTTTTATTAATCGCGGTTATTGCATCAAGCTTAAAAAGCCCATCTTGCACATAACCCTTGCCTACGTACATTCCTGATTTCGACAAAACAACTTTATCTGACTCAAACACTAACCGGAAGCCATTCTTGTTCAACAATGAACCAGAAACTAAGTTCTTCCGTAGCTCCGGTACGTACAAGACGTTGTTCAGAGTCAGCTCTTTCCCAGAGGTCATTCTGAGAACTACTTTGCCCATGCCTATCACAGTAGACTGAGCAGAGTTTCCCATCCATACCTTTCCACAATTAGTCATCTCGAAGGTAGTAAACAACTTACGGTTGGAACACATATGTCGGGTCGCGCCCGTATCAATGAACCATTCCGTTTGGTTCGAACCAACCAGGTTTACCTCGGTCACCATTGCCGAGAGGATGATTTCGGACTCATTCTGATTGAGCCGCACCACGTTAGATTCCGAATAATCATTCTTCCTCTTAAGTGCTTTACAATCAGTCCACTTGTGACCCATAATGCTACAATTGAAGCATTTTCCGTAGAATTGCTTCTTGAAGTCCTTTCTGCCCAAAGGCAACAAATGGATACTAGGTTCCACTTGAAAGGCTTCACTCACGATCGTTCCTTCGTCAACTTGACTTAGGACGATCCCGGAATCCACCATCTTGTATTCAAGTAATCGGCTAACGACAAACATTTTTGCCTTAGCGTCATCACTCTTATACTTTAGGTCCAAAGATTCCCACAACGAGTCACACAAACCATTCAAAACATAGTTTAGGCATAGGAAAACCAAATATTTCCAAATCCTCACTATGCTAACGGTTTGAGCATTAGACTCATGTTCCTTTCCACTAGGAACCATCTCGGTCAAGAACCATGACATGCCGAGAATCATTAGGTTGTACAACATTTTAAGTTACAACCCTTCGAAATTCAACATCTTGAATTTCCATGGTCTTTCGACCAATCCACAAGGTACCGTCTCATGTACCTTCATCGTAGGGATATACCCTTTGATGCCACCACCGGTCTCCGAACCAAAGTTCACCGGGGTTTCGGAAAGTGCAACTACGTTGCCGATCTGACCAGAGTAGACCGTGGTGAGTTTTAAGCTTTCAAGTCCGGTGTTTGGCCAAGTGACGACCTTGTTGTGAGTTAGAGCAGCGGCTAGGAGATTTGGACTCGGGTCAGGAGCAGCTTGATGATTTGGAGTACCCAAATAGGAATTAATCGCTGCCGGACTTAAGGGATACCATTTATCCCGAATAAAGACTTGTTGAAATCGCGGTGACCCCTCCGAAAATGTATCCAATGTTAAATTTGTGTAGAACTCGGCAGTGAGCCATCTGGAGTACGGACCAATATGAACAAGTGACGCAAGCAGGTATTGATCTCGCAAAATAGGCACAATGTTGCATTTTTCTGTCAATTTCTCCACATTGATGGATTTTTCCAGAATAAAATCCCTAGTAGCATGAACATTCCAGTCAGACATCAAATCTGGAGACAATAAAATAGGATGATATTTCTTCTTGGGTTGTTTCATCTTTGAGCCAGAGCGGGCAGTAGCAGTTGTAGGTGCAGGGGCCGGACTTGGTACTGGGCCTGAAACTGATCTGGATCTTGTCATTCTGGGTGGCAATGTGGACCATCTTTTTGATTGCTTGGAATCAGACAAGTAGACAACATCCTCCAATGCTCTAATTTTTCTTTTCTCGGCTGTACCTGAAACAGTAGTTTTTTCTTTCCCTTTTCGGGAAGATTTGCCCACGGGCACAGAGATAATGGGAACAGAATCATGTGAGGTGGGTACAGGGATGGTGACCTCTGCTGATTTCGAGACTGGGATGGTTATGGGAATAGAGAATGCAACACACACCATGGGAGACACATATTGATTAATATTACGAATGGTGAAGGGAGATGACACAACATGCATTAAATCAGATAAAGGCACAAGATTTTCAGGTAATTTATGTGAAGAAGACTCATACGGATCACCTTGTAAAGGAATGGAAGGGGCACACAATTCACTTGAGGTGGACACAAACTGATTTGGCAAAGAGATGTTGAAATCTAGCTTTCGAGAA